TACACGGGCTACAAACACTTCTATTAAATTAGTTTATTTTATATAGAAAACTTGATTATTATGACAAGTATTCTATATATTTAATTTTATTTTTATTATACAAATTTAGTTCACCAACCACTTCATTTTTTAACTAAAACTATACAAATATTAACTAAAAAAGCACAAACGCAGATGTGCGAAAAAAGAAAAAAAGAGGGGAAATTACTCCCCCTCCTCCGGACAATCCAAGTGTTCAACCGCTTTTAATCAGAAGTTTAAACCGTAAGAGGTTAAATTCCGCCCTAAACGAGGTGAGAAAAAGGAATTTTTTTCTACCTCATTGGCATAATCACTCACATAAAGGCGATAATTGCCTTTTAGAATATCCTGCTCCGTAAAGTAGTGCTGACAACTAACACAGGAAAATTCCTTTAAATAATCAGACTTATTAAAAGTTCCTTGAAATTTTAATTCAACTGCTCCCATGATTATTTGATAATTTCTGTGCTTTGGTTGTCAGCTACTACGGAAAGCAGGATAAGGCTTTCAACTTTGGTTTTTTTGTTTTTACTTATGAGGAGGTTTACTCCGTTATTATTTAGAAAATTATTTTTCATGTTGAAAAATAAGAAATATATATAAACCTCGTAGAGTGCTATTTCCCAAATTGTCCACTGGGAAATTGGAAAAAGTCCCTTTTTTCACTTTTCAAAGAAAAGAGCAGGGTTTAAGTCAAAATAAATTAATAAAAATAAAACCGAATATAAATAATAACGATAGAGTAAACCGCCAAGTAAAAACTGAGAAAAAAACCTAACAAAGTCAAAAAGAAACAGCAAAAAAGAGATTTAAAAGTAGTAAGAAACGACAAAAAAAAGCAATCAACAATTTAAGAAGTAAGAAATTAGCACTAAACAGCCGAAGTAAGCCAAAAAAGATAAGAATTATTTACTATTAGAACAGTAAAAATAAAGGAATTTGTGTGAATTTGGAGTCTGAAAATGGGCGGGGTATCGGGGAAGTAGTTAATAAAAAACTGCTTGGGCGATAAAAAGAAAGTTAGATTAAAAAAATAGGAACTATATCACATAGGAACTATTTATTTACTAAAATATAATATTATGGAGCAACTAATAACGATTAGAAGTAAAATTAAATAAAAATGTCAGAAAACATAACTACTCAAAAAACAGGTCAAATTGTAAATATTCATCCCTTTGCTGAGAATACTCCTCAACTAAAAGAAACTACTTTTAAATCAATAAAAGAAAATATAAAAATAGTCCAAGCAGACTGCTTACTAGCCTTGGAAAAAATTGAAAGTAATAGTGTGGATTGTATTATTACCGACCCTCCTTACTTCTTGGATGGTCTAGAAAATAATTGAAACCTTGATAAATTAAAACAACTAAAAGACAAGGCCAAAGTAATTGGTGGCTTACCAGTGGGAATGAAATTTGACCCTCAACAAGGAAAAAGATTACAGGAATTCATGTCCGTAGTGGCTGAAAAACTTTTTAGAGTGCTGAAACCGGGCGGATTTTTTTTATGTTTTTCGCAAGGTCGTTTATATCACCGAATGGTTATGGCAATTGAAGAGGCTGGATTTGAAATAAGAGACATGTTAATTTGGAAAAAAGTGGGACAGGCCAAAGCCTTTTCCCAAGACCATTTTGTTAAGAAAATGAAAATCTCAGAAGCAGAAAAAAAGGCAATTCTTAATTCATTAGCTAACCGGAAAACTCCGCAATTAAAATCCGAAAGCGAGCCAATAGTTTTAGCCCAAAAGCCCAAAGAAGGAACCTTTATTAACAATTGAATTAAATGAGAAACTGGCTTAATTAATATTGATAAATCTTTAAACGGATATTTCCCTAGCACGGTTATGGATGTAAGAAAACCAACTGGAAAGGAAAGGATAATTAATCATATGACTTTAAAACCAGTGAAATTAATTGAATACTTAACGCTTATTTTCTCAAAAGAAAACCAAGTAATTTTAGACCCTTTTATGGGAAGTGGCACCACGGGAATTGCTTGCCTAAATACCGGCAGAAAGTTTACTGGTATTGAAATTAACGATTATTATTTTTCGTTAGCTGAAAACAGATTAAAAAAACATGAAACTCGTTAGAGTTCTTTATTGCTTTTAAGAATTAAAAGAATATGAATAATTATAAAAAGTTAGACATTTCTGGTTCGCATTGCTTTTTGTCGTGAGAAGAATGCGAGAAAATTTGGGAGGAGATAAAAGAAATCTATCAAAATTATTTAAAAAGTCGTGAAGTCAAGTTGCCGAAATGGCGTTCGGCTAAATCCTTATGGTTAATTTATCTTTATAAATATAGGAATTACCAAGTTCACAAAGATACTATTTCGGACTTTGTTCGTAATCTTAAAAAAATTGGACACGACCAGCAAGTCCGACATTTAGCGGCCGATGGTTGATACTTATTGAACCGCAATGAATATATTCCCGAAACTAATCAAAAAGTAGCCAATGGTTATCATGTTCTTTTTGATATCAAAAGCCCCAAGCCGACTTTTCTCTACAAGATTTTAAAAAGGGAAGGTCGGTTATCTGCTAAATGCTGAGAGGAATTAAAAATAGTTTACGATAATAGATGCGTGAATTGTGGGGCTTTGGAAAATCATCACCATCCTCGATTTAGAGATACCACCGTTATCTTACAAAAAGGTCATATTGACCCTAATAAGCCAGCAGTTTTAGAAAACATTATCCCGCAATGCCAAATTTGTAATCAAACTTATAAAGATAATTTTGTGTATGACGAAAATGGGTATATTAAAGCCATTAATAACGAAAATTTTGTTTTAAGGTCAAGACCAGAAATTTTAAAGAAAATTTACGAATTACTGAAAAAGAAATTTGAATAATATATGAAAATTATTGCTATTCTCTCCCAAAAAGGTGGCGGAGGTAAATCTACCCTAGCCCGTTGTTTAGCGGTTGAATTAACTAAACAAAAACAAAATATTTTACTAATAGATTTAGATATCCAACAAAAAACTAGCCAAGAATGAGCCGAAAGACGCAAAAGCCAAGGCATAAAACCTTTAATTAACTGTCAATCTCTCCCATTTTTTGATGAGAAATCAACTAAAAACCAGCATGATTATTTAATTATTGATGGTCCGGCTCGGATGAGTAAAGGAAGTTTAGAGATTGCCCGCTGTGCTAGTTTAATAATTCAACCAGTCCGTCCCAGTTTGGATGACTTAAATCCTGCTATTAGAGAATTTAATGGCTTATTTAAAGCTGGAATTCCCAAAAGTAAATTAGCCTTTGTCATAAATGCAGTTAGTTCTCCCGCCGAGGAAAAAGCTACTCGGAACTATTTACAAAAAGCAGGATATTTTGTTTTGCCAGTTTCTTTACCGGAAAAAGTAAGTTATCGGGAAGTTCAAAATCAAGGATTAAGTATTAGTGAAGTAAAATATTTAAGGTTAAGTAAACAAGTCAAAGAATTAATAAAATCAATAATAAAGAAAATAGGAACTATATAACATAGGAACTATAAAATAAATATATGAATAAAAAAGATTTTGGAACTCCACCAGTAGAAGTTAGCGAGAATTTGCGTTCTTTGGAAATAGACAAAAGAACCTTACGCAAAACTAACCGCACCCATCAATTTAATACTTCGGTTAGTCAGGAATGAATGGAAAAATTGAAGGCAATATCCTATGAGGAAAGATTAAAGTATGTGGAAGTGCTGGAAAAAGCATTAGAATGCTACGAAAAGCATAGAAATAAAAATATCTTTAATGAACAATAGTCAATTAATTCCTTGTTGTGAATTATTAACTCTTTTTGAACGCTATTATCAGAAAAAATTTGGAGTAGAAGGATTAATTTTGTTTACGGAGGAATCCGAAGAATTTTTAAGTGTTAAGGCTTTTACTAATTCTCTTTTTAAGGCTCTTTCTAAAAAGAAACTCCTGTGTGGAAATTGTGAAAAATGGTCGGAGAGATTAAGCGGATAAAAAACTATATGAGCGAGATAACTACCTTTGCTGGAAAAAAAGTTTTAAGCCAACTTCCCAATATCCATCCTTCCTAAAAACCAACCTCAACTTTCTAAAACTTTGACTTTGTTTTCTGGAATGTTTTGTCAAACTTGCAAAGTTTCTTTTTCGATTCTAAAAGAGTAATCCACTTTGGGGACAGACCAAGGAAGCAATTCCGATAATGGGGGAACTCAACCTGTTCTTTCATAATTCATTAGGGCTAGTCGGAATAAAAAACTGGTGCTTTCTATTTGTTTGCTGTGAACTAAATTTTTGGCTAGTTTAATTAGTCCGAGTGGTAAAGCACAGGTAATCATAATTCTTTCTTTGACGATGTAGTCCTGGCGGGGAAAGAGACTGCAAAGAAAAAGGAGTTCCATGCCCGTGAAGCAGCAGTCGGGTTTGGCTTGGTAGAGTTTGTGTTTTAGTTTTTGTATTGTATGGTGCTGCATATGGTTAGTTTTTTTTGGTTAACCATACAATACATAATTAGTTTTCTTTTAACCATTTTTCGGTTTTGGTCTTTTCTTTGCTAATAATTAGGCTCGGACTTAATTATTAGGGGGAGCCTGGGGAGGCTCCCCATCTGTTTCTATAAGCCGATAACAAAGTTTAATTTAGTTCTTTTACTTAAACATTACTTTCTAGGGTCATATATCACGGTCTCACAACGATAATCACCAGTTCATGGATCAGTTTTTTCTATCCTATACTCAAATTTTTCCCCAGATAATTGTGCCTTTCTCAAAGCTTCTTGAACTTCTAACGAAGATGACACAGCAACCAAAGCACTAGTAGTAGTTGCCTTTTTCACTATACTAACATCGTTTATATCATCCATGTTATCCCAATACTTCAATCTATCTAGGTCAATTTCTATTATATCACCTTTTTCCCAAGTATTAAAGGGATAACGATTAACACAAAAAATCCTCCTTTCATTGCTACTATCCCAAAAACTAACAGTGCCATTTAACACAATCCTAACACAATTATATTGATATCATGTCTCAACACTGTCAATTCTGAATGCTTTTCAGTTTGTCATTTTTATTTAATAAAGTTAGAAGCAAAAATACTCACTACACCAATAAAACTAGCCAATCCTAAAAAAATGAAAAGTGTAGTACCTCCACTTTTTTTATCTTGGCCTGGTTTTTGGCACTCCGAGGAATATCCTTTTTTCTCTTCCTTACTATTAGAAAAGTTCTTTTTTTCATCAGTAATTTCTGTTATTTTTCCCTGAGAACTGTCCGGCCGAGAATAGTTTCTCTTTTCTCATAACTGATTTCCTTGCCGAACAGAAGTAGAAACATAACTGCCCATTGGTGAACCATTTTTTTCTGCCTCTGCTCTCCTTCTTTTAACTTCCTTCACTCTTTCTTCATAAGGGAGGTCAATAGGAAAGCCTGCTTCTTTTGCTTGTTGTCGTCATTCCTCCGTTTCCCTTCTTCATCGTTCGGCCTCAGAGTCTCCTCTTTGCCATTCAACTACTTGAACATCCTTAGTAACAGGAGTATCAACCTTTTCTTTTTTCAAAAGTTCATTTCCCTTTCCCTTTTTTCATCTTTCCGACTTAACTTCTTTTTCACGGCTGCCATCACCGCAAATCCTCGTTATTATAAATCGATCAGAAGTGTTATCCACATCTTCTTCATAAGAAGAATAATTGCCGCTTCTGCTGCCTATTTCTGCCTTACGGCTAAAAGAATCATCCGTTTCCCCCGAAAAGGCTATTCCTCGCAAAATTGCCTTTAACTTCGGAGACTGGATAGTATAAACCTCACGTTTTCTTTTTCCATCAACTTCACAGGAAAAGAGATAACCATCTTTGAACTCTTGAATTTTATTTTTAATAGCTAAATCATCCATCATTTTATTTTTTATATCTTAGACTTTCAGAACGATAATCGCCTGTATATTTATTACCCTGTTCTATCCTATATTCAAGTTCACCTTCGAGACCAACTTGACTTGCTAATTTAAGTGCTGTTGCTGCTGAAACTCTTTGCTCAGCCGAAACTATTGAAGAACTACTTAGACTATAATTATCACACTTCCAGCAACGATTTTCATAATTAGAACCTGAACGACCTTTATCGGCTCAACTATCTTGATTAGACTTACAAATTGTACAGTATTGCATATTTTATTACTTTTAATTTTCTTATATTTTTGCTATTTATTTAGCCTCAAAATAGCCTTAGCACCTAGTATTTTCAGACTAGATAACTGTTTGCCTAATTTTTTTAAAACAGTTGGCTACTGTTTACCAGTTGCTTTTGGTTAATATTCTAATAGTGGAACTGGTAAGAAATCCAAAGATTGAAGTGATTTTAATAAATCGCGACAAATCCAAAGACTACTAGGAAAACCCAATAATCTAATTAGAATACTACTTTCCCTGTTTTACTTCCGGTAAAGTCCTATGTAATAAACAATTTCTAATTGTTCTATTGCCGGTAGGCTAAAGTGTGAAGATATTTTTTTACTCTCTTACTATCTAGAATATAAGTCAGAGGGATAAAAATAAGAACCCTTGAATGGATTCTATAATATTTTAATTCTTTTTATAAACTTTTGCTTGAAACTTTGACATCAATTTATTAATTTAATTTTAATATTATAAAAACTTTTCTTACTGAATAAGTTTTATTATATATTTTACTAATTCTCCTTCAACCACTTTTCCGTTTTCTCTTTTTCCTTTTCATAATCTTTTAATTGGGCTTCTAATTTAGTTAATTGTTTATGGAGGAATTTGCGTTGGCTGGTTAGTTTGTAGATTTGGGTATTTAAAAAGCGAACATATTCTTTTTTGCGGGTTATCTCCTCGGGGGTGGGGTTTTTAGTTGGCATTAAGGGATTTTTTTATTCAAATTCCCCATAAGTTTCTTTCCATCACTTCTCTATATCCATTTTTTCTTGCTCGGTGGCTTGGTCTCAGTTTTTAATGATAGATTTAGCCAGGAGGATTTTGGCTTTTAATTGGACTTGATTGAGTTTTTTTGTTTTCACTTGCTATTTAACTTTCCAAGGTGGGGGTTGGATAATTTGGGCTTCCATCTCCGCTCTTTGTTTTTCTAATTGCTGGTAATAGTTAAGTTTTTGCCACTGATGAAGTAATTGGCTGATGGTTTTTAATTGTTGTTCGTAGTAATTGGCTCGTTGTTTTTCTTGGGTGGCGGTTAGTTCTAATTTGGATTTTTGTTTTTCGGTTTGGGCTAATTTAGTGGTTAAATTATCGCGTTCAGTTTGGGTTTTTTTTAATTGTTCCTCTAATTGCTTAATTTTGACTAGTAAAATTGCTTCTTTGTCGGTTGGTGGTAGTGGTAATGACTGACTAATTTTAGGTTTGGGCTGATAGTCAATTTTAACGGGTTTGGGCTGGACTGAGATAAGTGGTGGTGAATTAGGTTTAATGGTTGGTTTTTGAACTGGGATGGCTGGTTTTATTGGCATAATGACAGGCTCCAAATTCGCGGGCAGTTGCTCGGGAAAATTTTCCGTGCTTGGTGGCGGTTCTCTACTTTGGGAAGGCTCGTGTCTTTCTAATCACTTTTTACTAGTTAAAATGTCTGCGGTATCATTATCGCCATCATCACGATAAATATTCCGCCAATATAAAGCGGTGGTTCTAATGGAGGAATGACCCAATAATTTCTGTAAAAGGGGCAACGGTAAACCTGCTTCGGCATGATAAGTAGCAAAAGCCCTCCGTAAAGTATGCGGTGATAATTCTATACTTTTGCTAATTCCTAACTCCTTTTTCATTTTCCGTAAAAAGTGATAAAAGTTTCAGCGATTAGTTTGATTAGGCTTTCAGTTATGTTTTTTTAATTCCCTGATAACTGACTTACTGACATAAACCAATCGCTCTTTTTTGCCTTTTGATTTCTTTATGCGATATAAACCTCTCCTGGTTTTATTTGCCAAATCAAAACTTACTGCTTCACTAACTCTTAACCCTGATTTATGACACAATAAAAAGCAACCATAGTGAATTTTCCGCAAATGTTCTCCTCGCTGATTGGGAAAATTCATAATTTCCTCACTAACTTTTTCTAAAAGTTGTTGTGTAGGGAGCATATATCAATATTTTTAAACTAAAATATGACCCAAAACCTTTAAAAACCTAACAAAATCTTACTTACCGAAAAAAGTTTATAACTAATTCTCTAAAAACCTAGTCAAAGATTTTATAAACTTTTATTCAGTGGTTATTTATCTTTTATTCATTGATAGCACACTATGGTTTTTTGGTTAAAAATAATCGGGGTTTCTCCCTTGGGCGGACTTGGAAACTCTTTTAAGAAATCTTTCCTCTTAACAACCCCCTCGGGGAGGACAAGCCTCCCCTCTCCCCCTTATTTCTTATATTACTAGTATCACGCCCGCGAGAGGCAAAATAACGGGCTGGATTTGTTTTTTTTACTTATTTTATAAGTAAAGGGTGAAAATTAGGACAAAAAAACACTATTCTCCACTATCGCCTCGCTTCGGAACTAAAATAAATATATAGGTGAATGTTCTCCTATATTTAGTTCTCATTTCAAGAGGTCGGCAAGTTAAGATTTCCCGGTATCAGTCTCCGGCAAACCTGCTTAACTTGGATTACAAATTAAGTCTGATGGTGCTTTTACTGTGATAATGCTCTTATTTTATAAGACTTTTGCCCTCAGTTATCGCCACTGCTTATCCGTATATCCGAATAAGTTTGTTTTGCTTTTAGGCAGAAACGGCACTTAACTTCCGTATTATGCTCGCAACCAGTCAAGTTTTTTTTACTAGACTGGTTGAGGGAACAACGAGATTAATTTCCCAATTAAAA